GGGACCTGTAAATGTTGTAGGAACCTAGCCTGCATAAGTTAAAACTTGACCTGGTTCTTTTAGAAACAGGGTTCCATGGCGTCAATATCAATATAATTATTTGATATTACAGATTCTTGATTGCAATGAAAGAAATGTAAGGTAGGAGTCACTTATAGAGAAGAGAAGGAGCTACAGCACAGAATATATCTGAATAAAGTCAGGTGGGGGTGAAGGAGGGGAGACAGCATGAGCAACTCTAGCATGGGGTGTTGTCTAGCAGGGTTATTCACAAAAGGGTGAAAAGTTTGTAGAAGTGAACAATCTAGCTCAACATAGCTGAAATGGAAAGTGAGCTGAATTGGAGAGTTTTTCCAGTTCAGCTATTTTGGCCTAGACTGTTCACTTCTCCTGCCTTCTCCAAACTCTTCACCCTTTTGTAAATAGCCCTGTAGGAGGCAGCTCATGGCAGGGATGAAGGGATGAATAGTTTGATTGGGTTGGGAGCTCGGGCATGGATTCTGTGGGGGGGTGTTCCTGGCAACTAGCTATCACTAGAGATAACAGATCTCTTTGAAAAAATGCTGATGCATGTCCACACACACTGTGTTGTGGCCAATGGTGAAAAATGTACAAATTATTGTTTTAGCCAGGTAATGTGTTTTATATATGATATGACATTTAATGCTTGCCATAAACAGCCTAATGGCAGCAAACAACACTCCCAAATTCCAGTAACAATAAATAGGTCATTTCTGAAACTCGAGAGAAACATAAACCCCTCTAGTGTCAAGAGGTGCTTGTAATCATACAGGGAAATTTTTCAACATTTTGCTTTAAAACTAAATCCTTAAAATACACCCGCTCCACTGTTACCATCTGGAAAGGAGTACCTTGGGTCAAAGCCCTCAGACAGCTTTATGACAGGCAGATATCTCACTTCCCAACATTGTCAGCTAGATATCTGCTCATCTATAGATATCCTTGAATATCCTTGCTAGATGTACCAGTATTATATTTGTGCAAAATGTTCTCTTCGGATTAGGCAAGCAAGAAATCAACACTTTGCCACAAAAAAAACTGGTAGTTTCTACAAAAACAAAAATTGATCTACAGTTACAAAAATGGAATGACAAGTATTTTCATGTCTCCACTAACTAGAGGTTAGCCTGCCCGAGGCTATGGTATAGGACTATATCATGATTTACCACTCTGTGTATAATACTGTACAAATCACTGCTAAATATCTGTCTATGTCAAAGGATGCTTTTAACTTTATTATGTTAAATGCTGGACCTGCTCTTGATTTATCAGCCAGACAACACTGTACTGGTATTAATGATTAGGTGCTCTTAGCATTATAAACAGAGTGACCTACTAAAAAAATATAACTGTCTCCAGTTTTTAGCAGTATATTTCAGTGACGTGCAGTACCTTCAGTGCTGGGTAAGGCATTCCCCCAGCCCCAACCCCAGCACACCCCGTCCAGCCCACCGAAGGGTCCCAGCCCATGAGGAGCCTCCCTGTCCCTCACTTGCTCGTCAATGGTGAGGCATCGAGATCGATTTTTTTTTTCTTTCTTTTGTTTGATTGGACAGCTTGGACCAATGGCGCTTTGCCATTGGTCCAAACCATCCACAGAGCTCAAGCCTCTAACACTGAGTAGAGGCTGTTGCAGCTTTTGCCTCACTAGTTAGGTTACACAAGCAGTGGGAAAGCCCGCTGCCATGAAACCTAACTTAGCTGTCAAAAGCTGGATGCAGCGCCACCTGTATTTAACAGGCAGCGCTCCATCCATGACAGGTTATACAGTGGGGAGGCTTTCCCTGCTGTGTAACCTGTTAGAAGCTAGTATGAATGGAGAAAAAGCTGTCAGCTTCAGACTTGAAGCTGACAGCTTTTTCCTCCATAATACTAGGTGAGGCTCTGCTTCACATGCCTCCCCTGGTCCCTGGTATATTATCAGATTGATCTACAGTTACAATCACATACACATGTGTGCACATAATTTTGTATGCTAATCAACAGGCAGATGTTCACCTCTTTTACTAGTTAATATGACCCTCAGTGGGCAAAAAGGGTTGTATAACTCTTAGCCAATCCCTTCATTGCCTACACAAATGTTGCTTGACAAGTTCTGGTGCATCTATCGCATAATACTTTGAGCTTAGAAAATGTGTAATTCCCTTTTGCTGAGGAATAAAAACACATTCCACTGGTGAGTTCCATAAATTTCAGGAACTTTAGCAAACTTAATTGCAGAGTCTTACTATCTTCCATTTGTACTGAAATTCACACGTGTATTCCATATTCTACACCCTGAGTTGAATAGTCATCCTGCTGTGGTCAAACGATCAGTCCCAGTATTATATTGAGAGAAAACTGTTTGGAGAGCCATTTACATGAGTAGAAAATGACAGTTCAGGGGAATTGCTGTACACCAACAGTGTATACAGCACCCCCATAGAAGTAAGCCATGTTTAATTCTTTTTACCATATTTAGAAAAATCACAACTGACAGCAGACAGAACTAAGAAGCTACTTTTCTAACACTATGTTATAAAAAAAGCTTGGGTTGCAATTTTGTTTTACTGTATGTTGATAAAAGTGTGCTTACCCTTTAAATCCAACTTTGTTTAAACTTTAGCCATATCAGCTTAGAGATAACAACTGCTTCATTCAAATATGTTCATTATATTATGATATACTGCCACATACATATACAGTATGTACTTATACATGTAATAATAAATATAGCTAGTATACGCAGACATCCCAACTCTCCCGGATGCTCCAGGAGTCTCCTGCTATTAGATAGCAGCTCCCAGCCGCCCGGGAGAGAAACACTTCCTCCCGGAAAGGTTTAATCTGCTCCATCGATGCAGATTAAACCTTTCCCTGCGATCGTTTTTTTGTTTTCTTTTCTGACATCGGGAGACGCGGCCTGGCTGTCACTCAGAAAAGAAAAAAAAGGAATATGAATGCATAGCTAGATTCCTATTGGCTATTGCACTTTGCAATAGCCAATAGCAAACTAGCTATCTAACCCCACCCCCCTCCACAGATGGGGGGGGAAAAGGGCACCTCCCTGAAATGAGAGGGATACCTCCCTGAAATTGCTTCTTTCAGGTTGGGATCCCTGGTATATGTAACTGAATTTTTTTGTATTCGCTTTCTGTGCCCCCCTACACAGCAGCACTAACAACTGTGGAAGAAGGGTTATCAGTGTGCTTCCAATCAGAGCACTATTGTTTTACATCTCGTTATATTGTCAGTATTGTATTATTGAGGACCTACTAAATTTCTGGAAGAAAGGGTGTTTTGGACATGAGACATATAACTGAGAAACTATTGGGTTGATTTACTTTGCAAGTGAATTTTCCCTTAGCTTAGTGAATGACATGAAGCTTTGCTGACTTCCATTATCCAATCATGTGCAAGCAAAGATACTGGGGTTTTTTTTTTGTTTTGTTTTTTTGTATTTTCCTTGCTAGTGATTGAGTTATCTTGCAAAGTGAATTTTCACCACATTCACTAAGATAAGGGAACATTCTCTTGCAAACTGATAATTCATTTGCAAAATGAATAGCCTATTTGCCTTTAGTAAATCAATCCCTATGAGTTTGATTTTTACATGGAGATCCGCTTTCTCCTGCATTGTATAACATTGTACTTGTCAACAAACACTGACATTACCACTTACTTTTGTATTTGTAAAATACTGCTTTATTGCAACTATTTCCTTATTTCTATAGCCCAATAAAATGCTTAAAATATGTTTCATTCGAGACTTTGCAACTATTCTTTTGAAATTATTCTTATCAAAGAAAACACCTAAAAGCAATTGGAATAATACAAAAAAAAAGGCATCTAAATGGGAAACAACATAAAAGGTCATAAAATGGGAGCTTACAGACAGGAAAATGAAAACAAATACATTTAATTAACACAAACAGGAGACCACTGGTACTCCCACATACAACTTTCTACGGAAGTCATTTTTACAGTGTAATACTTCAGAATGGATGACAGATCAGACTAGAGGGCAAAGTGGAGGAAGTAAAAATAAATGCTAGCGATGAAGATTAGGAAATAGCTTGTGAGGCTGGGTCAAAAGGGGACAGACTCTGGCTTTATCTGATAGAAACATTTTGCAGAACGTCTTTATTTTTCTAGAGCTTTCCACCCAACCTTTGATACCAACACAACAAATTTCCAACAACACCAGACATGATTTGGTGTTCGTAATCTTATATTGTACTCTAGTTTGCAGATGCAAAGATTATCCAGCACACTGCCTTTCTTCCCAAAAGAACATGATCACTTAATATGTATGTGTTAAAGCAGAAGTAAAGGGGAAAAAATAAAAGATTTCTGGGAGGCAGGGATTTTTGGCAGAAGAGACATGCCATGTCTCTGGTGCCCAAACAATTCTTCTTCTCTTCCCCGGGTATTTTTCTTATTTTTGTACACTGTATGGCGCATGCACTAAGCAGTGTACACATTCAGCCCACTCGCCGCATCTATAAGATGCCCAATAGGTATCCCACCACACTCCTCCCTGGTAAACCCCTATCTTCCTAATGGGTGCTGAAATGACTGCAGGTGGCGCTGCTCCAATCAATGTAGAAATAAGATGTCAACAGCTCAACCGGACATACTGTATGTGTCAAAACAAGTGTATTTTATTGATGCATATTGGGATAGCTAATAAGGATGGCTAAGATGCCATGAATAGGCCAGGTGCCATAGAGGATGAGAGAGAACTCCTTTGTGCATGCGCATAATGTACATCATCAGCAGTCACCCAATAAGTGAAGGGGACTTCAAGAACTCGAAAGTGGCAGACAGCACTGAGGACTGAATTGCACGAGAGAAAAGCACACTTTTAAGGTAAGTAAAACAAAAAGTAAAACTACTTTGGCTTTAAAAAGGAGAGGCTTTGGATAAAAAAAAAAGACAGCTGTTGAATTTTATTAGGAAGGTCAGTCTGTTTATAAAAATAAATAAATAAAGATTACCCTACTGTCTTCTTGGCTTTCCAGTTCATACATGACTTGCTGTCCTTGAGAACAGTTGGAGTACTGGAAAAGACTGGAAAACAACCTCCAATTGTCTTGAGTATCTGCAAAAATTGCATCCTGGAAATTCACTCCATGCGGAAGCAGACTGTAATTCTCATCCATTCTACAGTAAAGAGGAAACATTAAAAAGGGTGGTTAAATATGCTACACCTTCATTGTATCACCTTCATTGCAAGTGGAATGAGAATAGGAATGTGTCCAAATAAAATAAAAAAAATGAAAATAGGTGTAAATATTAAAAGCAGACATTTTTCTAGACTGAACAAATGTTCAGCCAAGCAATATGTTAGGAATTAATGACATGGCTGTAATAAAAAATGGAACCAATTTCCGTGTTAAGTCCAGTAATGCAAAATATTTTTATATAATGTATCTAATTTATTTAAAGCTATAAAAAAACTCCTGCGGGTGGTGATAAAAATGTTATTTCCTGCAATTTCAGACCCTCCATCATGACTTAACCCAGAAGATACCAAACTCTGTGCTCCTCAGGGTCTTCAAGCTTTTCCCGTCAAAAGCAGACAGTAAACTTTTGTGAAGGGTGTGCTTAAAGGAAATGTGTCATTAGAGAAATAGTGTCACTGCAACTGCTGATCTCTCCCTCTGAAAATGACTATTGCCTCAGGTTCATGCTGCTCCTCTTGCTTCAATATTTGGCATCACTGACCCTACAAAAAGTATATAGAAAAGGGTGTATGCCTTTACTGACTCATGATAGTATTGAGGCAAGTGAATGAGCATAACAGCAAGGCAGCAGACATTTTCAGAAGAGGTCAGCAATGGCAGCACCTGTATTACAATCGTGACAGGTTTACTTTAAAGAATACCTTTCATGTGATAAACATGGAGTCTGCCATTCCCAAATTCACCTCCTGGAAAAACTAGTTGGCTGTCATGGTGAACCAATGGCTTTAATACTTTGCATAACAGACCCTGAACAGGTATGCAGATTAGGACGTTTGACTGCATTTTGACTTTCCTTAATAGCATACTTGTTCTGGGCCAGTGATATAAGCAACTGAGGCCAGAGGTCAAGAAAAAGAGCCAAGTAAATTACATTTAAGAATGAGCTTGGCAACATATTTATGAAATCATCCCTATTGAATGTAAAATAATTGCCTTTTGACCATAAAATCAGTAGACATAGTAGTTATGTAGTGTATATAGCAGGGACGTGCGGTCAGGGGAGGAAGATGAGGCAGAGCCTCACCTAGAATTATGGAGGATAAAGCTGTCAGCTTCATCATGTTCTTTTCAGATCGGCTTCTAACAGGTTGCACAGCAGGGAAATCCTCCCCGCTGTGTAACCTGTCACGGAGCATCAGCGGTGAGGAGCAAGTGAGGCACAGGGAGTCTCCTCCCTGTCTCCTCCCTTCCTCCTTTACACTAGCTTGGGGATAGTTGGGGTGGGGCTTCGACTGGCTGGGGTGGGGCTTCGACCGGCAGGAGACGGAGCTTCGGCCGACGGGGGGCGGGGGAATGCCTCACCCCGAGCAAGAGGGACCGCACGTCACTGGTATATAGTACAAATAACCTCCTAAAGTTCACCCATCACCCTCATCATCACAATTACAAACATATAGGATATGTCATAACTCTGTCTGCACATATGATGAAAATCTCAACATGTTGGTAGATGGAACTATTTTTACTCAAAATGTTTTGAAGTTTTGTGTCCACTTCTTCAGGAGATGGAGGTATTAATGTGCATACAAGTATTGACAGCTAAAACCTGGGTCATATCCTTTTACAGAGGGACAGTCTGGATTACATGGGGTCCGCAAGAGTTATAGTTGGGATCTCTATTTGTATTATTGTACTGGCGTGATGCTGAACTCTTTTATGAACTTGGAGAAAATATCCATATGATCTTATTGAAACTATTGAAATTAGTGTCATATAGTCATATTGCAAGGATTCATCCATGTCACATATTTCCCAGTTTTCTTCCATTCTGTTTGTGTCAATATGTTAATCTTCATCAGATCAACCTCTACACTTGTCTGCAATTGCCCTGCAAATAGTCAAATAATGGGTGCATCCAAGAAAATCCAATCAAACCAAGCAATTAGCAATGCACACTCTTGTATGGCAGTGCTGTTAGACAAAGAAGTGTGTATCATAAATTCAGACCAAGCGGCAAACCTAGACTTAAGTTTAGAGTTTCAGCAAAACATGTCCCGACATGTAAAGAAGTTAAGATGAAGATGCAAAGTTAGGATCCACCCTCTCATTTCTCCCCAGTCCCAAGGCAAAGGCTTTTAGGACATTTAAAATCCTAGTAATTTGTTTTGTAGTGCATAAGAGTCAAGAAAAATCATTAGGTGGTTCCTATGTAACCTTATGGATTCATATATGCTGATCAGTCCCGAAGTGGGGTTTTGAAAATGTATTTGGGGGAATAATCTGCATATAAGGGCTCATATTAATTCATCTTCTGCCTCTGTCTTCTATATTTGGGCACCATAAACTTAGTATACACAGGAGTCAAAAACGCACTTGAAGCCCAACTCCATATATTAAACTTCATATATTTATTTTAAAACATATTGTATCAGTGTAATATGTTCCATTTTGCACCCCTTTAAGCCCATTCATAGGACCTCAAGCTCCCTGGCAACCATAAAAAAAATGGCATTTAATTTCAGGCCATGAGTATTTCAGATCTACGCAGTAGCCTATTAACCTATGACATCTACAACAGTTCCTGGGCATTATCGCAGCCGGATAGCCCTCGGAAACGCGCGTTTGTCGCACGTTTTTTTAACCGCGTATCGCGGTAAAAACGCGCGGCATGAAATGCGTGGCAAACGCGCATATTCGGTACGCCTAGGTGTGAACCCAGCCTTAGAGCATGACCCAATGCTAATATACACCTCAAAGACACCGGCATGTGATCAAGATGGAAGGCACGGCTGACTGGACCAAATTTGTGAACGTAATCCTACATCGCACTCTCTGTCAATAACAAATCAGATGCTGAGTATGACACTCACAAGTGTTGTGTTCCTGTCTTATAACCTAGCACAACTTAAAATAAGCAGAGTCTGAACAGGCACATGGGATAAGAACTTTGGATTCAATTTATTGATATTTGGCATCATTTTTAACCTTGGCATAATTGTGGTAACATTTTTCATCTTCTATCATAACATTTTTATTAGTAAGGGGTCTGAAACTGGGAGGTATTTTAACAATGGAGTTGGGCTTTAAAGCTCAAATCACACAGTTCTGCATGATCTAAGGAATAATGCCTGAAGAATCTTATAGGCTGTTCCAGTGTGGCACTCATTCCTATCAATGGCTCCTCCAAGCAGGTGGCATGGTCAGGAGATTGCTGACTGCTCAGTCAGATCGCTCATATTACACAAGCTTGCATGTCATTGTGCTCTACCACCACTTCCGTGTCAGCTTTACTTAACTGGAATAACGGTTATTTGGAGGGCCAGATTTCTAGTACTGGAGCCTGCAGGCACACATTTTGAGTCCAAAAAAAAACCCCTACTTAGCTATGATCATCCCGTTTACACTAATTTGTATGCATTATTGGTCCTAACCTGGCTTAGAATATTGTGACAATGTGTGATTAATACCATATTAAATGAGTGCACTTTCTTCTGAGTGGCTAATACCCAGTTAATCTTCTGGCTATCAGCAAAAAAACTTCTGCCACCTGGGGTGTCTTTAAGAATTTGCCCACAGATATACAGGTGAAACTCGAATAATTAGAATATCGTGCAAAAGTAATTGCAGTAATTGCTGCAAAAGGGGCCCAAACCAAGTACTGAGTACCTATGCATGCTTGTACTTTTCAGAGGTCCGATATTGTTCTATGTACAATCCTTGTTTTATTGATTGCATGTAATAATCTACTTTTTTGAGGTTGTGGATTTGGGGTTCTTGGGGTTTTCATGAGCTGTAAGCCATAATCATCACAATTATGACAAATCACGGCTTGAACTATCTTGCTTTGCATGTAATGAGTCTATCTCATAGATTAGTTTCACCTTTTAAGTTGCATTAGTGAAATAAATGAACTTTGCACAATATTCTAATTATTCGAGTTTCACCTGTATATAGCGATTATTGTGTGATCATCTCAAGATTAATCAACAGTGTCCTTACGTATGGATGTGTTTAGTTGTTCCTCACAACTTTTTCAAGAGACATGTGAGGAACATCTATAACAGATGCTCAAAGGTTCTTATACTGAAAACCCATCAATCTCAAGGAACGTTCTTCCCTATTGTGATAAGCTTGATTGCATACAGCCAGTTGTAGCACCAAGACCATGTGGTAGTAAAGTGCGAATGTTGTTAAAAAAAAAGTGTTAAAAAAAGTGGGGATTATGTGCAAAACCTTGAGGAACACAAATGTGGAAGTGTAGAACCCAGGCATGGTGCAGCTGTCATTTTTCCTAATGCAGGCTGGAAAATCATAATGAATACGCTGTCACAAACAGTTGGAACGACATATGGCTTCAGGACTGGGATGCTACAACTAAGAACATTTCTATCCAGGAGAGAGTGAATAATGCAATACAGAGCTCTTTAACTGAAGTCCTAAGATAGTGATTGTATTCACACCTGAGCTCAAGCGTTTAAAGGCGATTTTGGAGCACTTTTAGTTGCGCATTTTTGCACATGTTTTTAGGCCTATACAGAATTGAGTGTTTTTGTTTTAGGCAAAGAGAAGGAAACGGCTGTTTGGTCTTAAAAAAAAACAACGCATTTTTAGTCGTTTTTAGGCATATTCAGACATTTTTCAGGCCCTTCCACTGAATTCTATGGTGCCACCAATGCCCCAGTCTGCTTATAAAGTAGCTCATAAAACTTTCTGAGCTCCACACATTAAAGTATTTTTTTTTCCTTCCCCCGAATGTTAGTGTGGATACTTACCTTAACCTCTTGCCGTCTGCCCGTAGTAGAAAAACGGACGGACGGCACTGCTGCATTGGCGGGTTTTTTTTCTGCTCTAGCGGGCGCGCACGGGCAGAAAAGACCCGTCCAATGCGAACACCCGGTACCGGGTGTTTCACATATAGGCGATCAGCGGGTCCATAGCCCGCCGATCGCCTATATGTGCTCGTTTGCGTCACACCCA